TGAAATTCCAAAGATATCTATTTGATTTTCTGAGATGTAGTCAATTAAACTTAATTGTTTGTAATTGTCTAAAAGGCTATTGACATTAAGTGAGTGTATTTTAATTGATTTTATATTGTTTAAAACTTCCAGTTCATTTGTGATTGTTAGGTCAATTTTAGCAGAAAAGGTGATATGTTCAGCTGTGATTATTGGTACTGTGTTTAGAGATGGTATTAAGGTATATATTACTAAGTTAGATGTTAGCATATATAGTTCTTTCTTAATATATGCCACCATTTTAGAAACTTTTCTAATATATGAATCTAATACCATTGCATTTGATACTATAAATAAATCTCGTAAGCTAGTTACTAAATGTCTCAATAAAATATCAGGTCAAGTAGAACTTACAAGTCCACAAGTCTTAGCATATCTGTTAGGAATTCTTGACTACTACACTTCAAATAAATTTGCTTCTATATATATTAACTCATTTACAACTTATCTTATGAATGAATGGATAAAATACTAAAATTTTGATGAAGATTATGAAACCTCTGATGAAGAATCAGACACAGATGACAATGAACAGAATAATAAAAACAATACAACAGAATCTTTTATTATATCATCTTCTGACGATAAACTAGCTGCTATAAACATTCATATTGACTATCAATTCAGTGGCTTATCTTTGCACAATATTTGTCTCTATGATTATGCTGCTACTGTCAGAAAAACACTGATTAATTCATATGAACTTTCTATGCTATTAAGTCAATGTACAAGAGAAGGAAATGCTATTGTAGACTGTTTTTATTTTCAAGGTAGTAATGATCATAATCAATCATATTTAACTAACGATGTTCACCCTGAAAGTAAATCTTATATACAGATTCATTGCAAACATGAGTCTGAAAGAATAGTTATACTTTATGGCAAAAGAATACCAAAAAAAGATGATTCTGAAAATAAAGAATATTATGGCCTATGCATCCTTATGTTATTTAAACCATGGGTAACTGTATATGATCTTTGAGAAAATTATAATTCATGGTTTGAAGCATCTCAAGCTTTTTTAAATTATCCATCCCTATCATCACATTTACTATCCATAATACAAAATATTGAATTATTATATAGGTGCTCCGAAGAAACAGTTTTAGACCAAAAAATTCGACAAAATGCCAAATCCAGTCCTAGTCTTGCAAAAGTCTGTCAGATTGATTGTTCTGTACCAGGATATGATGCTTAGCAAAATTTCTTATTTGATAATAATGATAATGACATAGTAATGAAAGGTTCTACAAATGAAGAGATGTGTAACTTTGATCCTGAAAGAATTATTAAGTTTGGTTTGAAAAATGTCAATGCTGTCGATATGACAATGAATTTTCTATGCATTTGGGACAGGTTTAATACATATTATAATTCAATCATCATAGATCTGAATATTGCTAGTATTCACAATATAGAAAATAGTCTATTAATTCATAATAATGCTATATGTACAAGTAACTTACATGATAATAAACTCCTTAAAATATGGCAAAACATAATTATCTCATGAAAATCATTTTATCAAAATAATAATAACACCAATAATACAAATGATAATATACCTTCTAATAAAAATATTGAGTCTCAATATAATATTCAACACATGACACTTGAAATAAATTTCAATGAAAATATTATAAATCACATTAACAAATTTTCAACTGACTTAAATAATGAACAAAAAAAAGCCTACTTTCTTGTATACAACCATCAGCAAAGAAACTATCCAACTAGTATGAATAAACCTTCTCAATTACTTCTATACCTTTCTGGTGCAGGAGGAACTGGAAAAACCAAAGTTATTCAGGCAATTTGATCTTATTTTAAACATACCTTACAACTCGATACTTTACTTGTTCTAGCACCTACTGGAGTCACAGCTTCGAACATCTCTGGTCATACAATTCATTCAGCATGCAGATTTGGATTTGGAGAAAATCACAAACATACAAATACTTTGTCAAATAAATTACTACACCAATTACAAGAATTCTGGTCTAAAATAGAATATATCATTATAGATGAAATTTCTATGATTGGTCAAACCCTTTTCGCTCAATTTCATGCTTTTTTGAAAAAAATAAAAGCAACAGACAATCACATCCCATTCACTGGAATGAATATTCTTTTTGCTAGTGACTTTATACAATTACCTCCAGTTCTAGACCCTGCACTTTATATGCCAAACAAAATTACTCATATCAGTTCCTCACCTGATTCACAATCTTTAAAATACACAAAACAGAAACACTCAATTAGACCTTCATCAATCAATTCAAAATCAGTTACAAATGCAGCAGGAAGAAGCCTTTGGCTAGATGTCAAACATATGATTTTTTTAAAAAAACCAATGTGCCAGATTGAAGATCTATTATTTGCTAACATTCTTGAAAATATACGCAATAAAGACCTCACTGAAAGTCATAGATCTCTCATACAATCAAGGATCCTTAAAGATAATCAAATTATCATTCCAGAATGGAAAGACGCCACTTTCCTAGTAACAAGGAATGATATTCGAGTTCAACTCAATTTTGATGCAACAAGGGAGCATGCATGTCATTTCAATCAACTCCTCATATACTCTTGTGCGATAGACTTCTATAATCGAACAATTCTTAATAGAAAAATCCGTTTAAAATTCCTATCTACTCCTGATATTAATGAAAATGCACTTTGTGGTATTTTACCTTTATCTATTGGTATGAAAGTTATTCTAACTGTTAACATATGTACAAATGATAATTTAGCTAATAGAACTCAAGGAATTCTCCAACAAATTATTTATGACATGAACACTATTGACCTTCATTCATCTTCCCTTCATGAAAAAATTATTGTATTAAAAAATCCTCCAAAATATGTTGTAATAGAATTGACTTATATGATTTGTGAATCCTACAAGAATCTTCACTCTAATCATGTACCTGTCTATCCAATTAAATGCAGCTGCGTACATACTGTTTGAAGATGCAACAGCCCAAAAATTCAAAGAAGATTCCAACGTTTTCAAATTCCTATAACACCTGCCTTTGCATTTACAGATTATAAGTGCCAAGGATGAACTCTCCAAAAAGTTATTATTGATTTAGCAGATAGCAACACTATCAATGCCAATTATGTTATGCTTTCTCATGCATGAAAATTAGAAGATGTACTGATTTTATGACCTTTCAAAGAATCTGCCTTAAATATGAAACTACCTTTATCACTTCATGCTGAACTTGATCGATTAAATGAATGTGTTCAAAAAACTGCTCAATTAAAAGAATGGCCAAATGCATAAACTTATAAATCTGAGAAAATATTTATTACCTCATACATTAAGTTCAGTATCAAGATAAAAAGATATCAATATGTGCCAGAACTTCTTGAAATTAATACATAAAATACAAGATAAATCTTTATTATGTAATTAATAATTATTATATCAAGGCTTGTTATGTTAAAGCTATATTATATAATATCACCATTTGCCTTTAAGACGTTTCATAATTTATTATTTGAACATCAACGTTTTTGTTGTTTTAATAACAAGTATCGCTTTTAACTAGTTAATTGTTACTACTTGTATCTATTAACAAAAAATACCAGAACAAACTTAACTGTATATGATATCTCACCTCTTCAAAGAATCTTCATTTCCTGTATTTTATAATAAACTTAACATTGTCATATTGTTATTTAAAGAAGATACTATATTTAAATATCCAAACTAATGATAGAGTTTCGCTATACATATTAAAATATATGACGTTTAACCACGATACTCTTACTTTATTCAAAGATATATTTAACAATATTTATTCACAAGTACTTATTTAATTTTTATTCGTTAAAAGGGAGTTAGATGCTTTTATTAACTAATCTTTTGCCTCATTTATATTAATCCTTTACGTAACATTTTCTTATAAACTTTTAACTACAATTACTATAATATCCTGTTAACTAAAAATTGAACTTTAAATTCCCAATACTTCTATCTAAATTGTTTACAAACCCAAGACCTTAAACTTAAAAGTTCACCTTATGCAGTGACAAATCGTGACTATCTTGTGACCAAATTGTTAATGAATCACTACAAACCTGTGATACTTAAATGCTAAAAGTATTACTAAAAACTATTTAACTAGAATAATTATTTATTGAAGCTCTATAAATATCTAATGAGTATATAGTACGCATAAGATTTAGAATACTTACCCTGAATATATAGGTAAAACTAAAATAGTTAGAGCTAAAAACCTTGCAGTTCATATCCCCTATTCTACATATGAAAAACACAGAACACATAATAAATTATTGACTCTGTCTTCATACACAAAAAGATATTAATATTTAAATAGCTAATAAAAGTATAAGCTGTTTATTTATAAATTGATTAGTAGTGATTACCAGTATCTTTACATACTAATAATACGCATCCTTCTTTCGTAATTATAAATCACTTTTAAACCTCTTAAACACGTTTAACTAGCCCTACCCCTCTAACAATATCAACAACCTGTTACCACAAACTGTAGAAAAGTAGTTTGTATATGTAATAGTATCATAATTATACATTCTGTTATCAAGTTCAAATTTAAAAATTACATATTATTAAAATTATAAAAATATATCTTTTATTATTTACAATTTATATTTTAATTAATTAATTAATTTATTTTTATAATAATGTTTATATTTTCTAAATTTTTTTTTGATTATAAATAATAATATATATTTATAATCTAATTCTTTTTCTCAATATAATCTATTTATAAAATTTTTAAAAATTCTCATATCAGATATACAATTTATAAACTAGTATAAAACATTAAACCATTAAATACAAAACATATTACTTTATATATCTATAAAATACTATAAATTATATTGTTAACCAAATTAATTACACTATTATTTACTATATACTTTATATTTTCAATTATTTATATCTATTAATTAATTATATAACTTTAATTTTTACTATCAAATAGTTATGTTTTTTATTATTATTTATACTAAACTCTAATTCTTTTAAAAAAAAACATTAAAACAAATATAAAATATTATTTTAATATAACTTTACATATTATAATAATTATTATATTTTACAGAATTTTTTTTAAAACAAATACATATTTCCGTTTCTGGTTTTAGCGCGACTGCGTCGCGCAGTTACCTAATATTAGTATCAAATTTTTATTTACTATATAAATTTAAATTTACTGCACAAAGCATATGACAAATATCAACATGTACTCTACCCTTAAATGACCTTATTTTAGGTAGGTGATTGATGTAGCCGTTGATTCGTTACTGCGCCACACAGATTAATAGTTTCAACGAGCTTTCAACACTACCATCCTGCCATCACACGCACATTGCATAAAGATCAACTACCCCAGTATCACCACCAAAAAAATCACGGTCACGTGATATTTTCGTGGTGAAACCAATGAGATTACAAGATCAGGTGTAACGTTGCACGATCAGGAAAAATTAAAACAAACGTTCGTTTTACTAAAAATCGCACATAACTCGAAAATTTACATAGGAAACCACCTTTAGTGTACTAATAAAAAAATTTCCTTGAGCGATTTTACTAATCTACTCTTACTATTACCTAATCATAATATAATGCTAACCTAATCTTACCGAATTAGGAATTTTTATTATTATCACGTGCCCGTGATTTTTGGTGGTTACGCTGGGGAAATCATTTTGAATGCGATACTGGGTTAGTTTCACTTTTTTTAGACGATCCTCTTTTTTTGGTTTGTATGTATAACGATAATATAAAAAACAAAAACAAACAATAGTGACACGTATGACAAAATCGCCTTCCCATAATTAGACCGAATTTAAAATTATTATAAATACTAAGCAAAAATTTTCATCAAAACTCATTATTCCCTACGAGGTACTCGCAGAACGTGTTCGTAAAATTTTGAAGGGAAGATCTTTATCGATGAATGCGAAATAAATTTAAAATTATGCGAAACATTTAAATAGATTATGCGATCTTTATAGTGTTATGTAATATGTATTAATTCCTCTATCTTCGGAATTATTCGGATATTGATCAAAAATTGCCTCGTATTTTAAGTTCGATCATTTGCTACATCGGAACTTTCATGAATTTCTCCGCATAAAATGCACGTGGGAGAGATGTGATAAAATTCCGAAAAACTCCGATGCGGAAAGTCCGAAATATTCCGAAGATTTTACATAATTAATAAGAAATTGCATACTTCACATTCATCCATAATTTGACCTCGATCGTGCGCACAATTTACTCTACGCATCGCATAATTTTGGACCCGTACATTCAGTTAGGTTATGGTCATGTGACTGAAGTGTTCGTAGAGCTACAGACTAGGGTTGGAGACATGTGAAAAATTTGGGCATGCCTCTTGTATTGTGCTATACTGTTATCTTTAATTATTATAATCCTTTCAAAAATTATATAAGTACGCCTTATGGCGGTTAAAAAGGAAAAAAAAAAAATTTATATAATAAATATAAGATTTAAAAAATTTCAAAATCATAAGATAACTTTTATATTCTAATTATTTTTATTTTTAGTTCTAATCTTGAAATTTGATAGATCTTAAAATTTATAGAAATATATATTCTTAAATTTTGTGTTCAGTCAGCATACTTTAATTAAGATTTATAATCACATGGTATTGGCATGTCTTTTGAATCAAAGGGTTAGAGGTTGGAACCGGTTTTAATAATTCGGATTTATCACATGAGTTTTATGATATTTTAAAATTCATGTGATAAATCCGAATTATTAAAACCGGTTCCAACCTCTACACTGGGTCACTGGAATTTCCTTATGTCAAGAAAATTCTGAGCTGCCGGCCGAAAAAATATTGGTCGTAGTATATCAAAAATTCTCTATATATCTAACATTAATAATCATGTCCTATAAGTAAAATTTCATTCAGAAAACTTTTACTTAGAGGTCGGAAATTAGTCATCATAGTAAATTTTTGTGTTATTTACGTTTTTTTTTACAATTTCTTATGTTTTCGCGTTTGTTTTGTTACACGATATCCTGTGATTTTATTGGATCCGGATAGGGTCGGAAGTGATCTTCAGCGATCTTCAGCCCGGGATTTTCTTGACATAAGGATATCCGGGTCACTTATCGACACAGCTAATGACCAGCACTAACCTTAATGACACAACATAGTCAGCATTATCATTAAGGTTAGTGTTAGAATATGGCAGAATTAAAAAATTGGATCACGTGTTGCTGTGTCTGTAGACTTTTCGGTTTTCTTCTTTCGCACGTGTTTGGGTTCTATGTCAAGCTAATCCGGAATAGTCAAAATTTGCACTCCCTGATTGGCTATTTCCTTTTTAAATAATAAAGGAAAGGTAGATCAATGCAAATTACAAGTATGTTCTTCGGAGCCATCTATAAAATGTAGCTTACTTCATAATTAAAGCACAGAATAAAAGCCCAAAATCAAAATTTAAAATTTCATAATAGCTCGGTATAGAGAGTGCTATGGTCTATAAGAAGACAGTAATTTTTATAACGATCTTTTTTTCTTCCAGAACCGTCAGTTCGTTATAGAAAAAGTTGATCGTGTTTGTTTTTTAAAGACTTATATGTATATAATAATAACCTAATATCATTATGACTTATTTTATTAAACACTTAGCAGTGGCCGAAATAAAATATCTTCAACCATATCGCAGAACTTTAACATTAAATTTGGACAAATTAGTATTATTTTATATGCTCTGTATCACATTGGAACCTTAAGGATATCGCTTCATTTTTTATTATTGTCTGATGCAAAAAGATAGATACACGGCAACTAAAAATTTATATTGTTTATATATAAAAGTTTTTATATTTGAGATATTTATTTACAATTTTTTTATATTAAATAAAGTAGGCTTTTGGTTATCTTTTAATATATATATATATATTGGATATCCCTGTTACTACAACTAGGGGCGCAGGTGGCGCTCTTTTATTAAGATATTATAAATGACTTAGTTACTTTTTAGATATTTACATATTAGTTTAAAAGATTTAGATCTAGTACTAAAGAAATTGTTTTTTAGAATTCATATTTCT